GCAGCAAGGACTCGGTACATGGGTTGCCAGCTCTACCCACTGAGCTAACCAGGCACCCATTAATGTGTGACTTTTTAAAAAGAATTACAATATGGACTGAGGGAATGCCCAATACAATGTTAAAACCAGAAATGTATATAACTCAAAATTTGTATATATGAACATGACCATGAAAAGTTTAAAACATGTTAAAAAGAACTGACCTTCTCTCCTGGTTTTACATTGTTACAAACCCCTTCGTTGTTCCCTGGTTGTCCTGCATCCTTGCATTTAGGAGTGTAGATGACTCTTACATTGTCAGGAAGATTGTCATGGGTCAAGGTTACTTTTGAGGACAAGCTCTGTCATGGATTAGACATTTAAGAGTGTTGAGGTACTGACAAAAATCGGACAAAATAATGAGAAAAAAACAGATGGATGACAATTTAAAGGAAAAAGCAGCACAGTCAACATAGTCTCTGGAACCCTCTCCAATCACCCATGGATGAATGGTAAATGGACCTGGACCCTTTCGTGTACCATAATGAGATAGCCACCATTATCAAGTGGTGTGAACTTTGACCCGAGACAAGTGACTGACCACAAGCCAGTGGTCATCAAAAACCAAAAAAAATACGAGTGTCCTCGTATAAATATTTAGGTGTCCATACAGACAACCTTCTTTGCTGGAAAATGCACATTGATCACCTGTGTAATTGACTGCAGCAGAGACTGTACTTGCTAAGGCGACTAAGACTGTATGGTGTGAGCAGCCAGATCATGCTGATGTTCTCACATTGACACATTAATGGCAAAGCCCATCGAACAGAAACTAACGCATTCCGAATGAATGCGCTAGTTTCTGTTCGATGGGGTCCGGTATCTTGCTCAAGATACTTCGACATGTGGCAAAAGGAGCCAGAGATCAAACCAACAACCTTCTGATTAATGGACAACCCGCTTTGCCTCTGAGCCACAGCTGCCTCCACATAACAAATCATTGCAAATACAGAATTTATTTATTTTGATTTTCATAAAATCATTCAATGATGATCAATGACACTTCCTGTGCTGTTTGAAAACATCTGCATTTGTTTTTGTTTCTCCATTCATTATTTTTTTTCCATTAATTTGTCCGTCTGTACATTGGTCACAAAAGACAGTTATAAAAATATATATATATACACAAAAAAGAATGTGTGAAGAAAGAACAGAATTTGTAAGTGGCAAATGAACAACTTACATTGTAGGCGATTTTAATTAATTCAACAACATTTTTAGAATCTGATGACAGAACTCCGACCTCTGATTTTGGAATCATTCTAGAGAGTTCCTGGGACAAAACACAAGGTGAAATGAAAAATCAGTCAGTGTAAGAATATAATACATGTTCTATAAATTAATAAAAAAGAAATAAAGAAACAAAAGGTACAATTATTTACCTTGTACACATTCGCTACATTTTCTGTCACTGCAAATATCGGTTGAATATTGTTTTTTTCCAACTGCATAGCTAGTTGACCAACAGATGGGTAGTCCTGCACACAACAATCAATAACATTTTATAAACCTAATGTCCATGTTACACCTCTTGAATAATCATTTGACAATACCATTACAACAAAACTCATCATTGTTTTTTGAGTATTGATAGTCATAATGGAGAGTTAAAATTTTTTACAACTTGGGTTTTATTTTCATAGTTTTACCCATTTATGATACAATAGCAGTGAAAACCTTTTGACTGTTGATTCCCTAATGTGATTCCATACATACCATGTCAATGCTCTTGCTAAAAAGGCTGTTTTCCATGTGGCATTGTTCATCACTGGGCTCCAGAATGCCAGCCAATTTTCCATCCCCAGCCATGTGGAATCCAGCATCAGTGGTCAACACAATTAGCCGAGTACTGCTGTTCCTCCAGCCTATTTTGTCCTAAACAACAAAAAGTGTTAGTGACCATTGAAACAAGAAAACTTTCAAGGCCCTGATAATAGGAACTGTGTTCACACTTCTCTGCCTCCTACAAAATACCTTTATACTCCAATAAATGCTTTATGAATTTCTTTTGTGAGAAAACACAATGCCTGCCATAAGTTTGTTGTAATCCTTTGGCTGTAGGAAGGTGGTCATGGTTGACGACGCTGTGCACACAGTCTTCTCCATCTAGTTGAGTTTAAAGGCTTGACTCTACTGTTCATATAAGTTTGTTTGCCAGACAGTCTTGGTCTTTGGTCCAATTTTCTGTATGTAACTGCAGTCTGTTGTGGTTTATTGTTGGCACAGATATCACTCTATGAACATTAAGCTTATACAGCCTGTTGAAAAGCATAGCCTGTGTTTTTTTTTCATAATAAACCCACACTTGCTTTCCTTGTGTTACTCACAGTTTGGTTGTATCCTTACCCCACATACAGCAGCCTGCATCATTGCATCAAGACTTCCTTCCGGAGAGTCCAAGTTCCCAGAAATGAACTGCTCTGTCACTTTTTCTTTGAACTCAGTTTCCTCTGATGTCATCTTAAGCACATGTCTGTAGCCAAAGGCAGCCTGGCACTGCTGGTCATTTTCATCACATGGCTTCTGCAGTTTCTCCTTGTTGGTGTTAGTATAAGGAAGGACTGTCTTATCAACAAAGGCACCAAACCCTATAGTTAGAGAAACAGCTATTAACTCCTCATTCTTGTTTTTTAGTTATATGGTGGCACTTCTTGAAAGGTTTATCAAACATTTCAGACCATTGAGATGTATACATCCTGACATAAATGGCAGCACTTTAGAATACAATCTGTAAATTCTATGTACATAGTTTGTACTAATAGGATACCAACAAAATACACACTGGTAAGTACATGGGAGGAAGTACAGGCAATAACGGTCAATGTACAGAGGATCCTGTTCTCTGTGATCATTTATACTATTTTTAGTGAGGCAGAATTCACTTTCATTCAATTTAGTTATTTATTTATCATTATTTTTTGTTTTTATGTCAAATAATTACCAAACTAACTAAACTGCTGAACTTATTTTACGATCACAACATTGTGAGACATAATGAGATGCAAACATGTATGTATTCTTTGTAAAGCACAACTCTAACATTTACTATAAATGTGGCTGCTGAAGAAAGGAAATTACATGTCAATAGGCTGCTAAAAGCAAATATCCAGCCAGCTATTGGGGTGGATGTGTGGGCTATAGCCTTAGCCCTGGTGCTCTAATGCTGTTTTCCCTACTTTTCCTTTCTTGGGAAGAAAGTAAAACTAATACCATCCCATTATTAAGTAGATACTTTCGTTTAAAAGAGACTCACAGTGTAATCCCTTTTAAAATCAAACTTCTTTTACCAGAGGGTATTTTATGACGTGATATGTACAACAACAATACCATTAACAACACTATTACTACGACTACTGCCACTACTACTACTACTAATAATAATAAAGATGATACATTTTATATTTTAGAAGATGTCAGATTAAGATTACAATCCCATTACCTATTTGAGCATGTTTAGTGATGTCATTCAGAGCTTTAAAAAGATCTTTTCCAAGTCCTTTGACATTTTCCAAGTCATCTTTCATGGAGTAAGATAGGTCCATCAGGTAGTAGAGATCAACTGGATAACCCTGAACTCTTTTAAATGAAACACTGAATGTGGTAGAAAGCCCTGTAAACACAGAAGATGCCCATGTATGCAATAAACAATATATAATATAAAATATTATTATATAAAGTTCAGTGACAGTGTGTTTATACAATTCCCAAATCAAATTAAATTAAAGATGATAATGATGAGATTTTTTTTTGTCCATCCCAATTCTTCATAAATCTAGATGACGATTCTGGGGCAGACACGTAACTGCTCTGGTTTTAACTCTGATCTGAAAACCAAACACTGCATACCATTTGTTATCAAAGGTCAGCATTAACTGATTCCACTAACCGGGTCGTAGTTTCAGACTTATCTTCTGTGGACTCAGCTGGACAGGGTTCTGCTCGTTGAATGACTCTGACAGAGAATCATTCTTATCAATCTGTTTGCTGTTCTCTGGAAAGATGATATCTTCTGTCTTGCAGCCCCTCTCTATTAATTTTGCTTTGGTGTCACAGCGTACTGTCTCCTGCTCACCTGATTTGGTGAAATTCTGAACAAAGGGGATGCAAAAACACACAGAGGGATAAGAATTGCCTTTTATATTAAATATGTGCTAAGTTCAGTCATGTATCTTCATACAATGTTCTTACTATCACTCCCTTGCATAAGCCTTTATCAAACTTACTTACCATACATTTTCAAATAAAAGCCAGTATTCCAATAATGTCAGAGTCTCATTGATCCGTAGTATAAAATTTTGGCAAGCTATATACCAATGCAAAGAGCAACTATTGTTGAGACTGTGGTAGACAATGAATGATAAACTTCACCCATATTTGTAAGCTCAAATGAACTGAAATAATGCCGGGCCACACTCTAACCCCTCAAATAAATGAGTGTTGAATATTAACCGGTGGAACAACCATAAAAAGTAGTTGACACCCCGGAAACACTGCCCACGTGAGCAGTGCATGATGGCTGCCTCACTGAACTGCTGCAGCTCATACGTCTGAGGTGTCCACAGAGAGTGTGTCTCTAGCTTTTATATGCTGAGTTTTCCATTGATAAATACAATACAATAAAAGTCTTTTTAACAAATTAATGGATTCTGTCCATAGAAATACCAGAGAGCTTTCAATCTCAAACAAATACAGGAGGTGTTAAGTGATTGTGACTGTCATGTCTGTGACATATTCTACAGATATGGACATAGAAACTGTAGAGAAAGTTGTATAGGTAAGTTGCTGCTATAATGTTAATATGACTTTGAACAGATCATCATCATCTACTTTAGCTGGGAATCACATGCAGAAACAATAGATTAAACCTTGACTCTCTAGTGAAGTGTGTGGCTAGTCTTATAGTTTTGTTGTACTTGAATGCTGAAGTGGCCTTCCTATGAGATACCAGCAGTGGCTCCAACACAATTTAAATTTGAGACGCCAGGTATAGGCTATGTCTATGTAATAAATGTAGTTTATTTGTCATGCTGGAAAATTTAGCTCATATTAGCAGCACTGCAGTCATGCTTCTCTTCACGCTTTAATTAGAACAGGTACCCAACCAAAACTCCATAGAGACTGTCTGTCCCCCAACC